TAAATTATGAAACTTAAAAGTATAGAAAAACAAAGCCAAATATTCTATTTATAAAAAACAACGAGGATTACGGCTTTGAAAAAATTAGTTAGTGTTGGTTGGAAGAATTATTTCAAAAACTAATTTTTTTGGTTATTTGTTTTGCTTTGACTCTGAAAACCAAATGTTCTCGATATCAACTTTTATACCTTTTGCAACTAAATTATTTCATCAAAAAATAAATTTACGTTTTAAAAAGTATGAAATCGAAGAACTCGTGAGCATATGACTTATGCACTCGAAGTAATGATATTATAAATTTTATAATGAATTTTAAGTGAATATATTGGCCAGTGAGTGCTAAAATGCAAGGATCGTCAAAGGGATTCAATGGAGAATGATCCTAGAAGGAATTGAAAGAGAGAGAGAGTCGGTGAATTAGAAAATGATCAAGCCACCGTTCTATTGATCTTCAACATCGTTATATACAAGGAAGTAAAGGAGAAGAAGATTATTGAATGTAAAATGTCTATTCTACCCTTAACTTACATTAACAACTCTAACTACTCTTAACAACCTAACTAACCGATCACATGCATGGCACATGACATTACAATATGCCCCCTCAAGCTGGAAGGTGCAAGACGTTGAACACTCCAAGCTTGCCAAGCAAATGAATATGTTGAACCATCCCCAAAGCCTTAGTCAGTAAGTCTGCGTCGTCCCCAAAGCCATAACCCTCAAGTATATATCTGTTTCTTCTTTCCACTATGACATTCTGCTGTAGAGTATAAGGGCATCTGCTTTGGTGAATTATGCCAAGACCTGTTAGTAAATCAGTACATTGTGCATTAAATTATCATTTTAATCACAATACCAAACTGGTTTTGAACCATAGTAATAAATTATTTTATTGCTACTACTGCTTCAGATTTTAGCTGCAAAAAGAACACCCATGTATATCTAGAGAAATCATCCACAATCGTTAAGAAGTATTGTTTCTTATCAAATGTAGCAATCTTATAGGGTCGCCATAGGTCAATATGTACGAGATGAAATACTACCTTTGCTCTAGAACTGCTCAATGGAAACTTTAATCTAGTCTGCTTTGCTAGTGGACATATCAGACAATTTTCCTGTGACATTTCATTGCTCTTATTATGTAAACCTCCTACATGCTTCAAAACAGATGAAGATGGGTGACCTAGCCTGTTGTGCCATACTTCACTTGAATCTTTGCTTGCCCTGCTTATAGCATTAAGTGCCTTTATTCTGCTAGCCAGTCCTCTAAGCACATATAGGCTTCCTCTTTCTTTACCAATCCCCTTCACCTTGCGATTCCAAAGATCCTGAAACACACAGAAATCAGGAAAGAAATTAGCATTACATTTCAGCTCCTTTGTTAATTTTGCCACTGAGAGCAAATTAAACTTGAAATTGAGAACATAAAGCGCATCTTTAATCTTTCTCTTGTCTAATAAGGTTGCACTACCAATATGAGTAATATCAGCTTGTTCTCCAATAGGAAGATGCACCCTATCTCTATCAGTTTTCCTTGTACACTTAATGTCTGATAGTAATTCTAAATCAGAAGTGATGTGATGGGTAGCACCTGAATCTACAACCCATTCCTTCTCCTGTGATTTTTGTGTAAAGTTGCTCATCAAACACTTAGCCTCACTTGTACCTGCCATATTTGATTGATGCTTCCCAGATTCCTTGTTCAAGAGACTCAAAATTTGATTGTATTGGTCACTGGTGAAGCATGATATCCCTTGTGCTCAGCAGCTCCACATGAACTATCTCCCATATCCTGCACAGAAGATGTATTTATATCTGCATTGTTGATCATGGCCCTGGGTTCTCTTCTCCATCCACCTGGTTTACCAACACCATTGCCACCATGCTTGCTAGTATTACGATTATTCCATCTAGGTTTACCAGTATTTGTGCCATTCCAACCATTCTGATTCCCAGTGCCAAGGCTCTGCTGCCAATCACCTTGACTCCTTATTCCTTCACCATATCTCCTTTTCGGAATAAATCAGCAGGGTAACCAATGATCTTGTAACAATTTTCTTTAGTATGTCCTTTTAGATGACATAATTCACACTGGATGTATTGTCTTCTTCCTCTTGCTCTTCCTCTTCCTGCTTGCATAGCTAATGGCTCTACTTTATCAGCATTCACTCATATTTTCTGTCGGCTTTCATCTTGAATAATCATGGCATAAGCTTGATTTAGACTAGGTGCATTTGTTTTCATAAGGATCTGCCTTCTAGCTTGATCATATGATTCATTCAAACCAGACAAAAATTGCATAACTCTTTGTTGATGCAAAATATCTGCATGATCTTTTGATTTCTCACAACAATTAGGGAATGGAATCAAAACATCATATTCATGCATAACTCCTTTAATTTTGAGAAATACACTGAAACAAAGCTAGTTCCTTGAGATAATGTGGCAATTTCACGATGTAATTGAAAGATCCTAACACGATTTACCTTATTGAACCTTTCTCGCAGATCTTCCCACACGAGATGCGCATCAGATGCATACACGACTCCACCTAGAAGTCTGGTGCCACATTGTTCCTAATCCATGAGAGAACGATGGTGTCTCATGTCTCCCACTGCTCTAACAATTCTCCTTCATACGCATTTCTGTTGCAGCTACCAGTGATGAAACCTATTTTGTCTTCCCATAAGTGCAATTCTCATCGACCTACTCCATAGTCCGTAGTTCTCCGAGCCTGTGATCTTCACAGGTACCACGACTGAGCTAAGAGTATCAGAAGGTCCGATATATAGTGGATGATTGTGGTCAATTGCCACCATCTCCGACATTGATGAATCAGTCTCTGACATGATGAATTTCGACGAGCTTCAACAAATTTCGATTAATCAGTGATAGAAATGTGAGAGGAGAAATCAGAAATCTAGCGCGATGCAATCCAGGCACGTTGCTCTGATACCATGCTAAAATGCAAGGATCATCTAAGGGCTTCAATGGAGGATGATTCTAGAAGGAATTGAGAGAGAGAGTCGGTGAATTAGAAAATGATCAAGTCACTGTTCTATTGATCTTTAGCATCGTTATATACAAGGAAGTAAAGGAGAAGAAGATTAATGAATGTAAAATGTCTAATCTACCCTTAACTTACATTAACAACTCTAACTACTCTTAACAACCTAACTAACTGATCACATGCATAGCACATGAAATTACAATATGCCCCCTCAAGCTGGAGGGTGCAAGACGTTGAACACTCCAAGCTTGCCAAGCAGATGAACATGTTGAGCCGTCCCCGAAGCCTTAGTCAGCAAGTCTGCTTGTTGCTCTTTAGTGTTGACAATGAGGACTTATATGGCGTGTAGTTTTTTTCGTTTTTTTTGTGTTAGCTAATAAGGATTAACACTTATTATTTTAAAAATTATATTTTCTTTTTAACTTTTATTTATAACTCAAACATAATATTTGTATAATTTATAAATATTTTTACTTATATTGAAATGGTGTTCACTACAACGCGCGTCCACCGAAACTAATGCTCATAAAATACTCAAACGTATATTAATGGCAAAATACATAGGTTACCCCCTGAACTATGAACCAAATCCCCGTTACACACTTTTTGAGCACCAAAATCATCTTACACACTCAATCTTTTCAAAATGTATCTGATACACACCTATTTTGCTACGTGGCTTTTGCGTGCTTAACAAAAAAAGATGAGCGCGTAAAATTGTAAATATTTTGTCTAAATTCATATTTTAATGCCATGTGTCATAATAATAATATTTTCCTTATTTTCCATTTTTATCAAATGAAAAAAGCTGCCAAACTTCTCTTTTGTCTCAGATCCTTCCCAAATGATCAGCAACCCCCACCCCCCTCTCTGGTCTTCCCTTCCCATCGTCTCTTCCTCAGTATTACAAAACTCCACCAAAACTCTGATAAAATTTTTAAAGAAGGTGCTGTAAATTTTCTCTAAAATTGCCCCTTTAAACTTCTCGCTTGCTTCTTTTACTATCATTAAAATCTACTAAAACACCCAATTTACCTAAATAATAAAAAAAATTATATTTCATGAGAATGACTGAAATTCTAAAATTTCCAACTCAGCTTCTTCATATAAGGGAAGATTTGAGATTTTTATTCACGATGGAGTTGTTTAATTAATGAAAACGAAAAACTGATTTTGATTTGCTTTATTTGGTTGTGTATGAGATCTAAAAATGGAGGAGGGAAATGGAGAACGGAGGAGTTGCAATTTCAATTTTTATCTCTTCTATTTTCGGTCTTCGGTTTGTTATGGATAAATCATTGCAAATTTAAATTTATGTGAAGGTTAAGAAGTGCTGGTTATGGCTTTTTCCCGGTGGGTAGCAACGACGGAAGGCAAAAAAAGATGGAGGTGTTAGAGGATTTTTTAAATTGGGGGTATAAGAGTAATTTTAAATATTTTCTCATTAAAAAATTAATAATGACACGTGTCATGATCTTATTGGTGCGTGACATAACACATATTTTTATAAACTGGTCAAGAAATAAGAGGTGTGTATTAGACACACTCTCAAAAGGTTAAGTGTGTAAGATGATTTTCGTACTTAGAAAGTGTGTAACAGGGATTTGATCCATAATTCAGGGGGTAACTTATGTATTTTGCCTATATTAATAGACTACCAGGTTCATGCACATAAAAAGGCATGAAACTGAACCATTATTTAGATAAATATCCAATTTATGAGTTCACTAAATTATGCAAAGCACAATTGATGCGCATTAACAGCGCGACATAACAAATCAAAACTTTCAACTAAGAAAAATAAATCAAGCACTAAATGAGCCCGCAATAAACATGCTAAATTATAGTTAGTTCTGAAGTGGTTTTAAAATTAAGCTTGTGCCCCAATTTTGCTTCATGTACACATTATTAACTTTATATATTTACATATAGATAATAGAAAGTGTCATCATCCTCATATGTTAAGTAAGATGTAAATTCTTAATAAAAAGAACATTGCTAAACCGGGTTCACTAGACCGGGTCGCCCAAAGGGGTAGCCGGGTTGCCCAGCTACCCATCCGCACCCAACACTAACTCCCTTCGAAGGAAGGAATCAATCAGTAAGCTAACGGATGGAGTCAAAGTGGAGGAATATATTGACTCTGCTTTACACGACTATGATAGTAATACACGGAGTAAGAGCATGGACTGGTGAAATCCATGGCAGAGTTGTTTGTGATGTGTGCGCTGACTCTTCAATTGGTCCTGAAGATCATGTTTTAGAAGGTCCATTTTTTTTACTAATTTTCGTTTTTTAATCCCTTGGTTACTCTTATCCAGTACTGAAATTCCATAATGGGCTTGTGTTCTGCTGGTTTGCTTTTATTAGTTCATCTTTGATTAGTATCTTTTTGAGTACTTTCTGGATGATTGAGTTAAGTTAACCATACAAGATAAACTAATTAAGATCTATTAGGACTTCTATTTTAATAAATGAAGAAATCAAAAAAGAAGTAGGGTTTGCAGTGCATTCGTCTTTTTCTCCTTCTACCAAAAACTCAACCGAGAGTGTAATGGGGAGACAACTTTTTAGGTATTGTTCAGTTTGTTATCTCCTAAGCTTCAGTTCAGTTTGTAACCTCACTTAGGCTTTTATTATCTTAAAAGAGAAGTCGTTAAAACATAAATTGAATATTTCTTTTCAAGATTAAGCTTGATAATCATTTTGTGATTAGTTAAAGTGTAATTATGCAAGCCAAGTTCAATTTTGTGATGTTCTTTCGTATGAGTTTAATCTTTTTGATGTGTTACACTGCGGGTATACAAAGGGAAGAACCTTTCTGAAGGTTTAAATATTTATACTGCTGATGATAATTACGGCAGAAGAAAAAAATAACGGGCCTTTGGTATGCGGTTCGTGGCACAGAAAGTACCGTCGATCTTGCTAAGGATGATCAGAAATCTGGAGGATCTTAGACTGAAATAGTGACTTGAAGAAAGAATATACACGTCTGCTGTTTTCACAAACTAAACCACTTATCTTTTGTGTGGTAATAGCATATCAAAATAGAAGGCCACACATATTCATCATTAGTAGAAAACTGTACTGTCGATGTACTTGACGTTTCCGTTTAGAACATAGCGTGGAATAGCAAGATGTTAGGTATTTTTATATTAATAACTAATTAAGGTGATGTGCAAAATATATGGTACTTAACTACTAGTAATTATTATTAGATAAAGTGACATGTGTCATTTGTTTATTGTCAGGTATAAACACCCGACGTGGGTAAGTTCTTACCTGAGATGTTTGGCCTTACTTGGGTCATAGTTAGTGCTATTTGCAGTGTATTTAAATTTTTATTCATGCTTTGATTATTTTAAATGATTGTTCATGACTATGCTGACCCCCTGACCTAGTGGTAGAATCAGAAAGATTGGTCAGGTTGAGATTTAATGCTCTCATAGCAAGGGATGTTTGATGTTTCCCCCCCTTTTCACGAACTAAAGAGCCAACCTTTCAAGTTAGCTAAAAAATTGGTAGCCACCATCTTAAGTAAGGAAGTAGACGCCTTTATTAATTAAAAGAAAAAGAGAAAAAGAAAAGAAGAGAGAACGAAATCAGAGAGGGGAACAACTCTTTGTGGAGAAATGAAGGCCTTTCTTTTCCTTTTGTCTTTTTGTTTGGGGGGGTTGGGGGTGGAGGGTGATATTTGAGTGGTGGGCGGTAGAGGGAGACAACTTCCTTCTTTTTAGCTTAAGGTGCATGGCAAACTGTGTGAACGAAGTTAAAAATGAGTTGGCTGTAGCATTGAGTATGCTAGTGGAAAGAAGACATTTTGTTGAGTCTTATTGGATTGGATTCTCCAATAAATTAGAGAAAGAAAGAAGGTAAGTTTGAAGATTCATAGGGCTGTTTTCTAGTAAATAGCGAGGCCAAATTTTAGAGAACTCAACTTCTGGAATCCTAATATATGAAGTTTTTAAGGGAGGTGGATATCTAGCATACTGGAGAGAAAATTAATAGTATCACTCATTTTACTTTAGCTTCAGTAAGTTTTGAAGTCTGAAATATTTGTACCATCTGATATCTGATTCCTTATCTGCAGCACGAACGGGAATTTTTTCTTTTGTCTTTCCCTGCTTCCATCTATCCGCTGGTGCAGGCTTAACATGGAAATATAGGCTAAGCAGCTCTCTGTTTCTTCCCGCGCTACTAGGAGAGTAACACAAATGGTAATGTGAAATTAGCC